AGGGAGACTTTGTACAAAAATCGATTGCTTGAGTACCTCTGTCCCATTCGTGTTTCAACCGTGAAGCAGTTGTGTTTGCATGGCTGTGTTTTTGAAGGGTGGAATATGGCATAAATTTACTGGGTACAGAGGAATAACATCTGAGTCCTCAGGAATGGCAACGCATGGGAGGTATCATAGGCAAAACAGTATACTCTGTTATGTCTACGGTACTGCTCATGTCTATAGGCGACGGTTACCACTTTACATCAGGTGGGCCGTCAGCTTGTTTGCCATTCTAAGTTGTATAAAAAAAAGAGGGTTGTTTGAATCGAAGCATTTGGCATTCCATTGTTTCTGCTTATTCTAATGGAAGACAGGGAGACGTGACATGTATGTACGAGTATGTACCTTCCCTATAGTGTACGAAAGATAACGGCGAGTGTCAAGGAAACTGACTGCCGATTTACAATATTTTTCTTTTATCTGAAAGGAAATACATATTGGTTTTATAGAAATTTTATAAAGAGCGATTTAGTAGTTTAGTTTCTAGATTAAAATAACTGGTTTTGTCACAATTTAAGTGTTTTTTTTTTTTTTTGTGAAGACACTTATTGTCTATTTACAATTATTATCTGATAATGAAATGGTAACCCCTGCGTTAAATGTATACGCTAGCTAAGCGCCATGCCGTCATTGCAAATTCACCAGGAATTAAACGCGATAGTTTCCAGAAAATCAGAATGGATTTTTGCAACGTGACCGAATACCTAAATGCCAATATTGAATTATAGCATTATTATTTATTTAGGTTTAACTGTAAGAAGTGTGACAATAAAAATTTTATAACTTGAAGTCATCATTATTGGTATATAGTTACCATTATATTGACATGTAGTAACTAATTTATAATGTTAACTATAATTCATTTGTAATTTTATTTTTATTTTGTAATTTAAATGTTATTATTATTCTTATTATTTATTTTATTAATTTCAAAATTAGAATGTAAATATTGACTGGCCATTGTGTGACGAAAACTGTTACATTGGTTAATAAAGAATTGACTTTAAGCAATATACTGTATATTGCTAAATGCCAGTAAAGCCTGGAAGAGATCGCTCTTAGCGATAAGGCCGCCCATTGTTTTATCATTGTTATTATTTCTTATAATTGTTTGTATGATAAGTTTTCTATTGTAATCTTATGGTGGAAACAATAAAGAGTATCTATCTATTATACCTGTAGTAAGTGGTCTAATCATCATCTTCCTACCCTTATTCCAGGGGGGAAAGGGATTGTTAGTATTGGAAACTGAGAATCCTATTGCTAGCAATATACCCAACCAGGTCGACCTCCTCGCGGTTCCCCCTGGAAACTATCATGGATAATTCCTGATGAATTCATCATGATGGGCTAACTGGCCTGTTTTCATTCTCATCTATCACCCTTCACTGGTGCTCCGCCAGCGTATCCCATTAGCGCAGGCGGGGATACCATACCATTTTCACCCATCAAAACAACCCTTATTCCAATCATTATTTGGGGTCGGCGTAATCTGGTTTTATCCATATTACTAAAGGATTGGGCTTATAGTTTTACAACCGGCCACCTGCCTGACGTCAACCCTCTTTGGGAATGCTTTTGTTGGTGGTTTCCGTTACCTACGGTTCCACACAATCCCACATAAGGGACTACTCACACTTATTCAACTTTTGTCCATAGTAAACAACGATTTTGTATTTAGACGTGTACGCATTCATTCGACTCTACGCGTCTATTCTGCTTTCGCGGCAACTCAGTATAAAATGAGGATAAATGTGTGTTTATCATGCGAATGCTATAGAGAGCGTTCAGCGCTGTTCCGCCGCATTCACCGTCGAACGCGGCGAAACAGCTCTTTACAGGGATGTTTCGCGACTCCTTGTCGACAAGTTGCGACCTGTATTGTTTCTGCATTGATTTTATTTATTATTGCGTAATCATTATGTACGCAACGATTAAAGAGTGCAGACGTATTTTATAGTAAATATAAATATTTTATTTTTACGAAATGCAGCATATTCAACGCCGTACGCAGTAGACAAGCGTTTCAGCGGAGATAGCACGCTATGACGGCTTTTCTCATTCTTACGACGCCGTACGCGGCTGATAAAAGCAGAGCTGAGAGAAGTGTGACCAAAATCGTTCAGCGAAACGCAAATGGAGATGAATAAGTGTGACTAGTCCCTAAGTCCCTTATTCCTCTCTTTTACTAATTTCCTTTACGCATTTCCAACGATCCCTTCCTTTTTTCCTCAAACCTTTCCTCCAACCGTAGGTGATCTAATATTGCTAGCAATTAGTAATATATCCTAACAATCCCTCTGTCCCCTTTCCCAGTATTTTATACTTATTGGTTAGGGATAAACCAGGGAGTCTTATTTTAAAGAAATGACAGCGTTATAATTATAACTCCTTTATTTAATAAGATTGGGGTACTCACGCCATGATGGACGTCAGTAAAGAGATAAGAACGGGAGATTACATTACATAGAAGGAATGATAAAAACTGTAAATCATATGGTTGCCTCCGTTGCAAATATAATTAGAAAAAAAAAAAGACGAAAGATACACGATCAGTTATTATCAATTATATTTACATAAAAAGAAAGGAGGCAACCATATGAATTACAGTTTTTAACATTCCTTCTATGTAATTCCTTGTTCTTAGGTAATATAGGCTAATTCAGTGTTGCCAGATCTAATCTACAACTAGTGATGTACACTCATACTACTCATGCACATTCTAAAACATTTTTATAATTGTTTATGCAAATAAATTATTGATTGATTATTTTGTAGCCGACACCTTTATTTTTTTCCTAACAACAACATGACTTTTATTTTTTCTTTCTTATGCGGTGCGGTCTATATTTTTTTTTTTTTAATAAAGGATGCGTTTTCGGAGTTGGCATGCCGGCGAAAAGGATGAGTCGCAATCAAACAGCAGTGTTATAGTATACAAGCATAATTAATATTTTGATATAACGCCACACCACACATGCATGAAATACAAAGAGTACCTACAGACACCAATCCAATAGGTTACAACCTAAGAACAATGCTATTCTTGTCAGTTCATAACAGGCTAGTGACGCTAGTGTATATAAAATATTATACGGCCGTATTATTGATATTTTTATTTATACATGATATAATGAAGCATGAGCACCTGCGCCAAGCAATAAAAAACACGTATTTAAATCCACTTATACTTTTATTATATTTATTTATTACAACAATTTCCTTAGCCATATATCTTACATTTTTCACACACACCAAAGACAATCATTGCAGCACCCTCTCGCCTACTCTACCGTAACTACTCTTTCGTTGTCTGTGCCTAATGTTGCAATTATTAAAAATAATAATTGTGGAGGCTGGAGACACAAAACAATTAAACTCAACAGGTATATTAGCCTGTTCCAAACGGAACAAACGTACTAAAAAAAAAATCAACAGGTATAACCCTACCAAATTCAGATACAACCTGCTTGCATACTTTCTACATAAACTGTGTACAATATATAATCTAGTAATGTAAAATTTGTCATTGACAAATAATTGACATATCAAACATTTTCTATACACTAACCTGCTATGAATTGAGAAAAATAGCAACTGATGGTGTATCTTTCGTCCTCTTTTTACTAATTATATTTGCATAAGAAGAAAGGAGGTAACCATATGATTTACAATTTTTATCATTCCTTCTATGTAATTCCTTGTTCTTAGAATTTAACAAAAACACATCGTTTATCGATATGTTGCCACGATTGAGCTCGCCATCTTTTTGCGGAGCGCAACGTGTCTGTCTTTTTGTATTGAGTTTACTTGCGCTTGCGAAATATTTTATAATAATAATAATAATAATATAATTTATTTGCTCAAATATGGGTTATTACAGATGTTACATTAATAGGTTATTACGCCTCCATATTTTACCATAAATGGCGTGCAAATCTTCTCTTAATATAAATATTACCATATTTCATATATCATTAGCGTATAAGCACCTATACCAATAATAAAAAGTATAAACAATGTTTCCTTCATGTTGCTTAGTCTGTGCACGAAACTTGTATCGTTGAAAGAAAATTCTGAATAAAAATCGCCATTGTACAAAAGTCGATTGCTTGGGTACCTCTGTCCCATTCGTGTTTCAACCGTGAAGCAGTTGTGTGCATGGCTGTGTTTCGGTGTTGAAGGGTGGGATATGGCGTGAATTTACAGGGTACAGAGGAATAACACCTGAGTCCTCAGAAATCTTAACGCATAGGGGGTATCATGGTCGAAACAGTATACTTTGTTATGTCCATGGTACTGTTCATGTCTATAGGCGACGGTTACCACTTTCCATCAGGTGTACCGTCAGCTTGTTTGCCATTTGAATTGTTTAAAAAAAGAGATTAAAAATTATAGTCGTCATGAATATTGTCATTATCACTATTGCATCACCATGGTGATGATAATCATCGCTTCTATTATTCAAACTGCGTGAAGGTGATACAACGCGTGTCTTCAACTGACGTTTATGTCCTTTGTCCTTCAAATGGCCAATGACTTCTTCTTCAGATAAATATTTATAACACACTTGGCAAAATTTTCTCTTGCTATCGTCCATAAATATTATCATATTTTCTTTAAGTAGATCATTGTAATTCTCGGTATGTCTCTTTCCATTGATATGTTGGATTACACAATGTTTGTTATTAGGTACAAATACTTTACAGATGTAACATTTCAATTTATTACCCGCAGTACCATTATATATGCAACTTATTTGCACTCAACTTATATGCATTCAACAGGACGAAGTTTTCTAAATTTTCCATCTTTTCAACCGATGTTAAAGAGGGAGGTTCACAAATATGTTTTTTTTTTTTTTTTTTTTTTTTTTTGTTGTTGAATTAGTTACACTAATTACAATTCTACAACAGTCTAAAATTTGTAATATTTTAGTATGTAAATTTTATATTATTGAACGTTTACGTTGACCACACGGCGTTTTCTCTTTTTAACAGCGTTTATTTTTAAATTTATTCAATTTTTTTTTTCACTGAAGTGTGTAATGTAAAATAAAGTAATACACTATAATCTTAAAATCGATGCATCCATATATATGTGATTCCCTATCTATAATTAATGATATGGATTAACTATGTAAATATTAGATTAGATATGGAATAAAAGTAGTGTAGTCCCGGCATAGACTAGACTACTAGCCTTTCCCTTCCTATGGATACCATAAAAGTCGACTAAGAGAAAACAATGGTTAAAGGATGGGTTGTAGCGTCCCTCTTTAAACATTATCACTCCATTATTATCTATTAAAAAAGGGCAATAACGTGCGTGTTATTATTATTATTTAATTGTCTATGGTCGGTACTTTATTGCGGCGTCTCAGTACTGTCACTATCACTATTTAGTTTGTACGTCACATCACCAGTGTTGCCAACGTAGCCAACTGAGAAATGCATCTAGCCCTTTTTTCTTCATTCAGTGGCACAATACAAAGAGGCAATATAAAAATATTGCCAAGTATATCTCTTTAGGTCTGGGTGTTTTACAAAAAAAAGTATTTACAAAAAAAAAGTATTTAAGTATGTCTATCTATTGTTTAGTACACATAGTTGAAGCTCTGCTTGGCCTAAGACTAGATGGCGCTGTGATATACTGTGATATTTTATTTATCCCCTAGCCTCGAATCTAGCCCTATTATGTTCTTATTTACTTAAGTATTCACCAGAAACAATACTAAAAAAAATTAACTTCCAGAGTGGTTGAATTAAAAACCAAATTAATAATTGTCTGTTTTTATTGCTTCTGGATTTAAAAGTACACGTAACTATCAAGCGTATATGAATAGATTGGTGAATGTGGAGGAATCGAAAGAGGTTTGTTTGAAGCGGAGTATTTAGCGTTGCATTGATTCTGCCTACGCCAAAAGAACACAAGTATAATATATAGATGTAAGCTAAATAAATTCAATATGCATTATTAGTAAATCACAAGTTTTTTTATGCAACTTAGAATGGCAAATAAGCTGACGGCCCACCTGATGGAAAGTGGTAACCGTCGCCTATAGACATGAGCAATGAACAATGAAAACAATTAACCATGATAGTTTCCAGCGAGAACCGCGAGGAGGTCGACCTGGTTGGGTATATTGCTAGCAATGGGATTCACAGTCTCTATTACTAACAATCCCTTTTCCCCCTACTATTTCGGTTTAGCCCGAAAACATCGAACTGTGTTGGCAACACTGCATAGCATATCACACCTACAAATAATATTAATTGCACACTATCAAAAGTACCTGTATGTATAAAAATACGGTATATTTTTTGCGTATATATTAATAAATCCTATACCAATATAAAGTGACGAGATAAGTCGTGTAGAATGTGACACGCATACCAGCTTTATACCTAGGTAAGTGTAAACCAATATTACCTACTAGCTGTTCCCCTTCGTCCGCGTTTCCGTCGTTTTTCGTAAAATAAATAGCTAACTCCTTCCTCACGGTTCAGTGGTTTTGATGTAACACACACATTTCCCTTCACTGCTCTGCTCTGCTCCTATTGATCGTAGCGTGATGAAAAGTATACTATAACCTGCCCAGGAGTATGAAGAATAACTGTACTAAGTTTCGTTAAAATCCGTCGAGTAGTTTTTGTTTCTATAACGAACAAAAATTTTACTGATTGCATTTTCGGCATCAGCATCGATCACTAATCACCCCGCTGATAGTTATTTTGCAAATATATTTCATGTACAGAATTGACCTCTCTACAGATTTATTATAAGTATAGATAAAGAGGAAAAAAATGGAACGTAATGTCAGTGTTTTGCTCTTTTGAGGGCGAAGCAATAAACTGAGTTGTGACCATTTTGTGTTACTGTGGTACAGGCATGAAAGAAGGAAATTGTTGTTTTATATATTTTGCTTTTTTTTGTTGCTTTTTCATTTATCTCTTTTTACTGTGTACGCCTGTATTATGTATATGTTTGTATTGTTATTTATGTACTCTAAATAATGCAAATAAACTATCTATTTATGTATATAATTTGTAAACGCAAAAATACTTTGTTGAATTTAAAAACTCTTTCATTTGTGTGCTGTAAGTAATACAAATGAAATATCTATCTATCTATCTAACTATATTAGACTACTACTGAGGACACACCTGAGGACTCAGGTGTTATTCCTCTGTACCCAGTAAATTCACGCCATATCTCACCCTTTAAACCGAAACACAGCCATGCAAACACAACTGCTTCACGGTTGAAACACGAATGGGACAGAGGTACCCAAGCAATCGACTTTTGTACAAAGTCTCCCTCTGGTTGAGGGATGAGCAGCAGCATCCCTCTTTTAACATCACCATTGTCTAACTGCGATCTCAAACCACTTGCCAATAGTGAGAGGTCTATGTTCAGCAATGGAGTTTTTTTTTATACACAATGGACAGTTAAAGGCTGATATGGTACAGGTTAAATAAAAAAAAAAAACAATATATAGGTAACTGTTTATTAACTATATATCACAAATAACATACATAAACAACATAGGTTGCCACTTATCTAAATATGTGTATAAAAATATTAAAAATATGAAATTAGGTAACAATTGAATGCGAAAGAATATAGTCGATATGTACAAATAAAAAAAATATAAGCAAGGTATTCACAATAATGTACATTGGGTAATTATGAAAGCTCTTACCTGTGTGTGCCAACGGGGTCGTTTCTGAAGCCTCCTATCTTTAAATCTATCTTTAAAAATAAAACAATTTGATATACCAGCGAAATCTTTATTCCAAGGACCAATATGAATTAAATTCCTAATAGATTTACGTTAGAATTATTATAAATTTACTTGACAATGGTCCATAAAACAGAAATGTCGCGATATTATAAAATATTAGTTTAAGAAATAGGTTTAAAAATATGACGCCTCAGAATCGACTCTTAATTATTTGTAAATTAAAAAACAAACACAGGTTCTTTGATACCAATAAGTAAACAATTTCCAATATTTCGGAACATTTTTTTTTAAACCACGAAGATGGCAAACTGGTATACAGCCCGTTTGATTATAACGGTTGTAAACGGTCATTCTAGTCTATGGACACGTGCAACACTAGGGATGTCAAGCGAGCGTTACCGATCCAGAATATTTTTTTTATACAATTTAAAATAGCAAACAAGCTGACGGTCCACCTGATGGAAAGTGGTAACCGTCGCCTATAGACATGAGCAGTACCATGGACATAACAGAGTATACTGTTTCGCCCATGATACCCCCCATGCGTTGCCATTCCTGGACTCAGAATTATTGCGAGACTAACGTTTTTGTTCACTGATAGTGAACAACAATTCTATAATTCATTCAGAAATATTGAAAACTGTTTTTATTTTTTTTATTTAAGGCAGTTGTAGAACCCCTCGGTATGCACCCTCATAAATAACCTTTTGCGTTGTAAATAACTTTTTTATTTTTTATTTTATGGAATGATAAATAAATACATTTTTAATTGTAATAAATCATATACATCTAGATGAAGTGTCGTATCAAAAAACCGTCCTAAAAACGCAACGCCAAAAGTCCGCCAAAAGTTTTTTCACTCGGATTGTTCAAATGTGAAACTTCTTGTGTGTACAAAAGTCTGAAAGTGTACTGTTGATATTTATATAGAATACTAGCTCTATCCCGCGGTTTAATCCGCGTCCGCGTGATCAATGTATAAAGTATACTGTATTCAAAGTTAGGTTAGGTTTTTTTTATTGATGATAATGGAATGGTAACCTGCGGTATCGGGGGGGGAAAGGGATTGTTAATAATGGGATCAAATAGTCCCATTACTAGCAATATACACTGTCAGGTCGACATCCACGTGGTAGCTCCTGGAAACCATCCTGGCTAATTCTAGTTGAATTCATCAGGATGGGCTAACTGACCTGCTTTCATCCTCATCAGTCATCTATCACTGGTGCCCCGCCATTGTATACCGATAGCGCAGACGGGGTTACCATACCATTATCACCCATTAAAAAAAAACCTGCGCTATCGGTATACACTGGCGGGGCACCAGTGAAGGATGACAAGTGAAGAGGAAGCAGGTCAGTTAGCCCATCGTGACAAATTCAACAATAAATGTATCACGATGGTTTCTAGAGGTTAGGATAACCTATCCATGAACTAAATTTCATTCCAATCCAGTCAGTAGCTTTCGCGTGCAAGAGTAACAAACGTACCTACAATACAAGGTACAACTAATTTAGAAAAACCGGGGGGAAAGGGATTTTTAGTAATGGAGACTGAGAATCCCATTGCTAGCAATATACCCAATCAGGTCGACCTCCTCGCGGTTCCCTCTGGAAACTATCATGGATAATTCCTGATGAATTCATCATGATGGGCTAACTGGCCTGTTTTCATTCTCATCTATCACCCTTCACTGGTGCTCCGCCAGTGTATCCCGTTAGCGCAGGTGGGGTTACCATACCATTTTCACCCATCAAAAAAAACAACTTAGAAAAACTTTTACCATATAAATATATATCAAAAATGCAATATGGTTTTGAATTTGACAGCCTTATACACTAGTTCGTCAAATAGAACGCGAACAAAAAAAATTTACCCTTTTCTTTGGCAGTATGGTAAAAAGAATTGTTTTTTTTTTTTAACGAACTAGAATATAAAGCTAAGTTCGATGATATACGTACAAACACCGAATCGTGGGTCCCCCAATAGTGCACAGAAATCATGGAATAAAAGTGGCACGGTAGTGTTCCATCCAAGTTTCTACTTTGACATTACAATTTTGATTATACATTTCAATTATGTAAATCGTTCGTTATACTTTAATACAAAAACGAAGTCTTATTGGATATGTAACTAAATTCGACTTTAATACGCTGAAATAAGAGTTCAATTTCTTTCATCAATATTTTTTTATTTATTTCTTTAACAATTAATAAAGATTTTGTCAACAGATTGATCATAATGTGGAATGTAAAGTTTTTCATTATTTATTCTCGACTTATGTAGCAAAAGTATATTTTTTTTATGTAAATTCGAATGGCAAACAAACTGACGGCCCACCTGATGGAAAGTGGTAACCGTTGCTTATATGTAATGTATATTTAGTACATAGATGAATAAATTAACATTACCTCCCATACTGAGAAGGCGCGTCTCGCTCTCTAGTATGAGACGGTTAAATTTTCTTTTGTCATTTTTCGACCCACGTTCCTTTGGTGAAAATGTTCAATTTTGTTGGAAGAACACTACCTTCGAAGCATGAAATCGAATTCGATTTTACCACATTACCTCTTGTTGTTGTAATTTTAGTTATTTGTCGAATGAGACTTCATGTTTGAAATAAAGTCTAAACAGTTGTAGCTTTTTTTTTCTTGAAATATTTAATAAACAATCTTTGTATGTTTCTTTGAAATTATAGCGCCTAAAATGAATAAATATCTAGGGATAAAAAGTATTTTGTGTTAAATCATTTGTCTGTATAAGTGTTATTGTATATTTACATTCGACACAAATATCTGATTAAATGAAAAGTTGAATTTACTTACATATATATATATATATATATATATATATATATTATATATATTGTCTTTGCCAGAGACATTTTTATGTTGTTTTTGTCGAAATAAAAATACTCTGTCCTTCTTCTGTTAAATTTAATAATGACGTCGTTAAAATGCTAAAAGGCAACAAAAATATTTCATATTTTATAATAAATAGTATGACTTAAGTTTTAATGTTAATTTTTCATACTAATCACACAATGATTGTTTAATAAATTAAACAAGTAAAAAACAGTACTTACTAGCAAATTTTGTTTAGCTGCGCACCAGTGTATTATGTACATAAATGAAGTTTAACCTATTAACCGCCCCATCGAATTTATTTAACAAATATTTTCGTGCCCGTAGTGTTCGTGTCGCATCTGACAGAGAAAGTCTTTGTAGGTATGTAGTTTTCGTTTATTTAACTAGCTACGGGCGTATTACATTAAGACAGTACTGAAAGAGAAAGAGAATATAGAACAAAAAGTTAGAATATTAAAATTATTCGTCCAAGGAGGTACAATGCACAGTTGTCGATTCGAGTCGGACGCTAGGGGCACGGCGACTGCTACAAAGTCGAGCGTTCGAAAGGCTAAGTCATACGTCACAACTATTAGCTATATAAAAATATTACACCTCACCATAATTTTCGTTGAATTTTGTGAAAACGTGCGTTAAAAAATGTTTTTTTTTTTTAACCAATATTTTACAAATGACCATAAATACATTGCGACTTCGTCCACATTTTTGTTTACATTACAAACCAATTAATCATACGACCCAACGGATGCTAATCAAAAAACAACATTCTATCTCGATCAAAGCTTTCAAAGAATGTTACAAAGTTCTAAATTTTCTTAATAGATGGCATTTCATGTACATACTTTATGCGAACTTGGCCTCACACTGTCGAGCTTCCAAACCAATCACTGGGCAAGTGTTAAATACTAGCCACTAACGCCATCTAGTAACATAAGCACGTAATCACAAAATTCACCGCACAACACACCTACATTATAAAAATCCCGTATTATTCACAAAAGTTGGATACCATAGACGATATCCGTACCGTAAAAACCACAGACAACTAAGTCTATCAGACACTTTGTGTTCCCCTTACTATAATAACTATGTGATTGTTGTACCATGCCGTTAAGACCTGTGGAAAAAAAATACAATTAATCCATATTCATTGTTTGTTTATTTGTAATGGATCAACTCAAAAACTACTCACCCGATTAAAAAAAAATTACATATAGAAAGCTACATTATCAGCGAGTAAAATAGGCTATATATTTTCAAAAATTCTATCTACCCGTGCGAAGTCGGGCCGCATTACTAGTTAAACTCAAAAATAAAATACATAAATGGCATACCAATCCATTCTGATTGTGTATATATATGTATGCATATATGTATGTACGTATATATATATATATTATAAGGTAGCACATTGTTTTCTCACTGTGATTATTTCTTATAATTATTTATATTTATAATAAGTTTACTATTGTAATCTTTTGGAGGAAACAATAAAGAGTATCTATCTATCTATCTCACGCATATAAAAAAACCATATTTTCCATAAAAAAAAAAACAATAATGTACTCACGTGTCCCTGGCGGGCCGCTGCAGACGGGACAGCAGCCGGAAGGCGATCAGCGGCCACAGCAACACGAATACCAGCGTCGGCTTCGACAGCTCCTGCCACGGCCAGCGCCAGCGCGCCTGCTGCTGACCACGACAGGGAGTTTTTTTTTTTTGATGGGTGAAAATAGTATGGTAACCCCGCCTGCGCTAACGGGATACGCTGGCGGAGCACCAGTGAAGGGTGATAGATGAGAATGAAAACAGGCCAGTTAGCCCATCATGATGAATTCATCAGGAATTAACCGTGATAGTTTCTAGGGAGAACCGCGAGGAGGTCGACCTGATTGGGTATATTGCTAGCTAACTATGTGTAATAGCAACCCCATGCTTTTGGAGGGAAAGGAACTGTTAGCAATAGAGTTTGACAGCCCCATTGCTAGCAATGTGCAATATTAGGTCGACCTCCACGTAGTTTAGTTTACCAGAGGGAGACTTTGTACAAAAGTCGATTGCTTGGGTACCTCTGTCCCATTCATGTTTCTACCGTGAAGCAGTTGTGTTTACATGGCTGTGTTTCGGTTTGAAGGGTGGGATATGACAGTGAATTTACAGGGTACAGGGTAACATCTGAGTTGTTTGGAATGGTAATGCATGGGCGGTATCATTGGGCGAAACGGTATACTCTATTATGTCCATGGTACTGTTCATGTCTATAGGCGACGACGACCACTTTCCATCAGATGGGACGTCAGCTTGTTTGCCATTCTAAATTGCATAACATTCATAGAAAAAATTCACACTTTTTTTATGAATGAATGAATAAATATGTAAATGAATGATATCTTTATTCTTTCAGCCTTTAACTGTCCACAGCATCCCCCATAAGGGGGTATTTGCCAGTATTAGCAGGCGGGTTGGCAACTGCAGTTTGGCTTTTGGTAATACTTTAAGAGGGACGCTGTTGCCCAAAGAGATATGGCCTGGAATAGAGCTGGTTGGAAGAGAACATATGAATTAGTTGCACCGACAAGAGGAAACTAAATAGAAACAAAATACTTACATCAAGCATCCTGCGGTCGCCCTCGACTGCCTTCCTCAGCGCCGCCACGTCAGCCTCCAGCCGTGCCAGGGTGCCGGGCAGCTGTTCCAACACTTTCAAATCTGGATACCAAACATGAAACCATTTTATTACACGACTGCCCAATAGTTTAAAATTGTGTTACAAAATAAACTGACCTCAATTGTGAAAAATGACCAGTTATTTAAACTACTCAACCAATTTGGGGGGAAGGGATCGTTAGTAATGCGGGCTTCCAGTCCCATTGCTAGCAATATACCCTGTCAAGTCGACCTTCACGTGGTCCCCCCTGGAAACCATCGTGGAAAATTCCAGATATATTCATCACGATAAGCTAACTTCTTTTTTTATACAACTTAGAATGACAAACAAGCTGACGGCCCACCTGATGGAAAACGGTAACCGTCGCCTATAGACATGAGCAGTACTATAGACATAACAGAGTACACTGTTTCGCCCATGATACCCCCCATGCGTTGCCACTCCTGAGGACTCAGGTGTTATTCCTCTGTACCCAGTAAATTCACGCCATATTCCACCCTTCAAACCGAAACACAGCTATGCAAACACAACTGCTTCACGGTTGAAACACGAATGGCACAGAGGTACCCAAGCAATCGACTTTTGTACAAAGTCTCCCTCTGGTACTGACCTGCTTTTTCATTCTCACCAATCATTCCTATGGGATAAATATCAACCGTAGACATAACAAAATACACTATTATGTCGATGGTACCCCTTATGTATTGCCATTCCTGAGGACTCGGGTGTTATTCCTCTGTACCCTGTAAATTCACTGCCATATCCCACCCTTCAAACCGAAACACAGCCATGCAAACACAACTGCTTCACAGTTGAAACACGAATAGGACTGAGGTACCCAAACAGACGACTTTTATACAGTCTCCCTATGGGGCGTGCCCGGGTTTCTGCTTCAAGATTATAATTTTAGAAGCGCAGATACAGGTCTACCCTACACCTCCTTAGAGGAGGAGGAGGGCGGTCTTGAGGGAGAGCACAGAAGTCGTGGAGAACCTCAAGGCAAGTATGTTCCCAGGAAGCTTCTGTGCTTCTGGGCAGAACTGGGCTGGCTTTACTGTACTATTTACATTACATTGCAGTTTCCCTATGGTAAATAGTTGTACGGTGGGCTCCAGAGAATTCTGGAATGGGCATGGAACAACCTCCTTTAAGTATGACTGCGAGGTGAACTCACGAGTGAGCTGCGAGGATATCTGATGTGCGTGTCCGTTGCTGAGGCGCAGCGCAGCGCGCTGGGCGGCCGCCTCCGCTTCGCTCTGTAATGTACAGAAGTACAAGAAAAGTTAATAGTACATTATTGCAGCAGCCAGCAACTGAGGCATTGATGGACGAACGTGCAAATGTGGGCCAAGACGTAGCCGAGGCACACGTACGTGAGTCCATCAATGCCTAGTTGTGGCCAAGGTTTGTATAGTACTTTTCTCAAACAATGCGCAGAAATCAAAAACACAATTTTACTTTTTAAGTTCAATGATGAATAACGAACAATAATCATTTTTCACGCGCCATAATGTTCCTTTGTTTTTTTTTTTCAATAAACAGCTTTCTATTTGCAAGCCAGTTCGAAATTTAAATAAAACCTGTTATTAGTTACCTCCTTGGTAGCCATGTTTCGAAGTAAAAGTCATTCCATTTTTTAAATTACAGGACAGATATGAGTTTACATAGTAATTTATCTGGCCGCAAAACACGACAGATATGGATTTTTATACTACTTGGCCAGTACGGCAATTTTGATTTATCTCGAAGAAAATTGTCAAAATAATGCTCACATTTCCAAGCATGTTTGAGAAAAGATTATTTATTTAACTCTTTAATGCACCAGAAACAAAAATATACAATGACAATTGAATAATTCAAGTGAAATACAGTAACATAAATACAGATTGAAATATACACATAAAGGTACAAAAGGCGGTCTTATCGCTAGGGCAATCACTTACAGACAACCTTTGGTTAAAGGAGAACAGATAGAAGTGGGCAGGTGGCTATTATTATCTTTCATCATCATCATCATCATCATATCAGCCGTTAACTGTCCACTGCTGAACACAGGCATCCCCCATAAGGGGGTATTTACCAGTAGTTGCCACACTTGTGAAATGATCTTACGGCCGAGATTTTCCTTAGAGACTACAGTATGGGGCTCTTTAAAAAGGCTATATTAAGGTTCCTTGAGGGTCGGCAACGTGCGCGTGATACCCCTGCTGTTACAGGCGTCTATAGGCTATGGTAATCTCGTTTACCATCAGACAGGCTGTATACTTGTTTGCCACCATAGTAGTTTAAAAAAATTCTCGGCTGGCGGGTTGACAACCGCAGTTATGCTTTGGTGATATTTTTTTTATACAACTTAGAATGGCAAACAAGCTGACGGCCCACCTGATGGAAAGTGGTAACCGTCGCCTATAGACATGAGCAGTACCATGGACATAACAGAGTATACTGTTTCGCCCATGATACCCCCCATGCGTTGCCATTCCTGAGGACTCAGGTGTTATTCCTCTGTACCCAGTAAATTCACACCATATCCCACCCTTCAAACCGAAACATAAGAACCGAAATTTAAGTTCCTTTAATCGTCTACGACACACATGGGAAAGGGATGGATCATTCTACGCTGGGACCAGACGACGTGCAGCAGCGATGGCATGTGTACTCACAGCGTCCATGTCGACGGTGTCGATGAACTCGTCGTCGTCGTCGTCGTGCCGGGCGCGGGTGGGTGAGCCGCCGCGCAGCGGGGACGACTCGCCGCTTACCGACCGCGACTCTGGAGAACAGAGTAGAATGGAATAGAATTATATAAGTATGTATAGTAGAAGTACAAGAGATCCTGATGGATCGACGTGCAATGGTGTAGCTGACCCCATATGCGAATATAAGATACTAGCGGCCCGTCCCGGCTTCGCACGGGTGGACATTATTACAACATTTTAAAAAGTGGTTATTGTGACATAACGATAATAGTTGGACATATAGTATCGCGAAGTTTTTTGTAGTTATTGATATTTTCTTCAATATTGTAGAACATACTTTTGTTCTAACACAAATAGTTGCCGCAGCGCACGCGACCAAAGATATTTTATAGCATTTTTTATACCTTGAGTTACAGTACTAAAGTTTTAGTCAGGATCCCTAATCTTTTCTAGCAATAAATATAGCCTATGTTACTCAGGGTGAATGTAGCTTTCTAATGATGAAAGAATTTTTAAAATTGACAAAGTAGTTTTTGAGTTTATTCATTACAAACATACATACACACAAAAATACAAATTTTTCCTCTTTATAATATTAGTGTTGAAGATGTTATTCGTTTTTCGCTCGCTACTTCATATGCGAACATTGTAGACATTGATCTAGCTGTTTCCTGCGGTTCCGCTCGCGTAAATCAGTACATATTCTATGTGCTAATTTACTCACCCTTGTATCAAATTTCATTCAAATCCATTCAGTAGTTTTTGCGCCAAAGAGTAACAAACAAATATCCATTCACCCATGCATCCATGGTTACATACATATCTGTCACGCCTGTCTCCCATTAGAGTAGATAATTCCTAGTGAATTCGTCACAATGGCCAACTACCTGACTTCATCCTCACCTATCATTCCCTTTGGGGGGAAGGAATTGTTAGTAATGGGGAGTTTAGTCCCCATTGCTATCAATATATCAGGTCGGGGGAAAGGGATTGTTAGTAATGGAGACTGAGAATCCCATTGCTAGCAATATACCCAACCAGGTCGACCTCCTCGCGGTTTCCCCTGGAAACTATCATGGTTCATTCCTGATGAATTCATCATGATGGGTTAACTGGCCTGTTTTCATTCTCATCTATCACCCTTCACTGGTGCTTCGCCGGCGTATCCCGTTAGCGCGGGCGGGGTCACCATATCATTTTCATCCATCAAAAAAAAATACCCTATCAGGTCGATCTCCACGCGGTTCCTCCTGGATACTATTGTGACAAATTTATCATTGAATTTGTCACAATGCTTATGCCGCTAGCGCAGGCGGAGGTACCACAGTATTATCATTAAAAAAAACCCAACTCACCTATAGGCGTATTCTGTGTGGACCTAACTCTAGCCAGTATGTCTCCCGCGACCAACTCCAGGTCGTTGCTGGGGAAACCCTGGTCATCGTCGTCCACTGACAGGAACGAGGCTACATCCGAGTTGTACGACATGGTCTCGACGATCTGTGAAAAGAACAATTTACATGGAAAATATGTTCACGACTTAAATCGGTGACAGGGCAGTCGGAGGCAAAATAAACATAGGTATGAACTAGCTATTTGCCCGCTACTTCGTGCACGTGAATTTCAAAAGTAAGAAACCAAAGAAATAGACTACTTCTAAAAGACGTATCCAGATAAAATATATATGGCAGAGAATTTACAGGGTACAGAGGAATAACACCCGAGTCCTCAGGAATGGCAACGCATGGGGGGTATCATGGGCGAAACAGTATGTGTGTGTACTGTTATGTTCATGGTACTACTCATGTCTATACGCGACGATTACCACTTTAAATCAGGTGGGCCGTCAGCTCGTTTGCCATTCTAAGTCGTATAAAAAAAAAATTCCTTAAATACCTTCCAAGTACAGATATCAGGCAGTTACATTTTTTTTCTTTGCAAATAGAAGCATCTCTTAAAATTAATTAAAGGCATGCCACTGAAAGTTCTGCTCGCGTCTTAGGGTGGGCACCAGACAATTTTGGAGTAGGCACGGCCCACCAGCCCCCTCTTAAAAACGCCTATGGACTACTTGCCTTGTGTAACTCGTCTACGTACGCTTGCATCGCTTCATCTTTAGTCATGTTGCCCAATTTGTTCCACGACTCCCATTTTGCTCTGAAATACAGTAAGAGATCAAGTTAGTTTTCAAGGTTCATAACGGAGACTAGCCGGAGTCTAACAAACATGAAAGAAAAATACCACCAAATTGGGAAACTGCTTATTTTTGAAGTAGGATGAGAAACAAAAAAATAGTATACCTGTTGACTACATCCCAGAAGCCTGGTTTCGGTTTGTCGCACGGTCCGTCTGTCGCTTGCTTGAAGTAGCTGTAGAACCGCAGCATCAGCTCATTGCTTGGCTGGTATGAACCTGGAAAAGGCATACAGACATGATCTCAGTAATTTGAATATCAAGAAATCAGAATTAGTGCTATATATTTGAATTGAAAACTTCTTTATCTGTGGGCACTTTGTGGAATGGGGAAAAATACTGGATTCGCGTGACATACTATCACAGAGAATATCGTCATAGTCGTAGAATACTGACGGATCTGACAAAGATTAAATATACATATCCGTCAGTATTCTACGACTATGACGATATAATACTAATATAGTATTATATTATCTGTGGTATACATATAAAACTTGTTTATATTTATAATGAGTTTACTATTGTAATCTTTTGGAGGAAACACTAAAATATATTTATAAAAATCAAATAATTTATTTACACTAAATGGTGTTTACATATGTTTCCATATATATATTACATTAGAGCCAACTTAGTATCCTCGATACAACTTAGAAAGGCAAACAAGCTGACGGCCCACTTGATGGAAAGTATTAACCGTCGCCTATAGACATGAGCAGTACCATGGACATAACAGAGTATACTGTTTCGCAGATGATACCCCCCATGCTGATTAAGGCTTCCCCATAAGGAGAGTTTTGCCAGTAGTTGCCATGTTTTGCAGGCGGGTTGGCGTTATGAGGCGACAAACATAAAAAAACAACCGAACTGAGAAGCACCTTCTTTTCGAAGTCGATTGAAAAAATCAACCTTGTGTGGGTAGTGGAGTCGATGGACACCTAATCCTACCTAGGTGAGCATCAACTCATATCGGGTCCTCGAGGCGGAGGATGATTAACGCCATCCAAAGCTCACCAGGGGGGAATGAGGACCGTGTGAGGGCGTGTTGCATATACCCTTCACGCCCCGAAGTGGAGTTACCCTTCATTGGGGCTCGTGTCAGTGTCGAAGTCGATTTCAAAAGGGATTCCTCGGCATTGTCGTTTAGAGCTGGGAGGTATATCGTCAGGTTGTTTACCCGGTAGGAGTCCGGCATTACCCACAGAGGCCCTATACGAGGTCTGCATGATGCATTTGTACTGACGTAAAAAAAAAATAGGCGGGGTTACCATACCATTTTCACCCATCAAAAAAAACTATAAAGGGATCAAAGAGATTGTTAGTAATGGGATCTAACTGACCCATTGCTAGCAATACACCCTATCAAATCGACCTCCACGCGGTTCCCCTTGGAAACCATCGTGATTAATTTTAATGGAATTCATCACGATGGGCTGGCCTGCTTTCATCCTCACCTATCATCTATCACTGGTGCCCCGCCAGTGTATACCGATAGCGCAGGCGCGGTTACCATACCATTATCATTCATTAAAAAACAAAAAACAACTATAAAACAAAGTCTTTAACAACTAGTGCAATGTTCAGATAAGTTATTTGTAGAAACTTACGTCCATCATTACATTCACAATTGAATATCGACTCTAATATATGAATAAAACGTACTAAATTCGTATGTATTTATTTTCTTTGTTCCAACTTCTAAATGTATCTCTTGACCTTAGTAATCTATGCATATTAATTGTCTTTATAAAGCAACTATATTTATTTAGCTACTATTTTTCCGTCTATTATTGTACGCACACTGCCCGCTAGTAATTGATGCTCCTTTCCACTCAGGGTTTGCTGGAAGAGAACTCTTACAGAGTTAAGCTCGCCTGTTGTACATCTTTATTATATATATATATTATATGTTGTAACTTTTTGTGTACAATAAAAAATAAATAAATAAACGAAGTAGCGGGCAAAAAGCTAGTCTCCCATACGTCATTCAAACCATACAAACGGACATAACACGATACATTGAAATTGAAAATACAACAAAAACATAATTTACATAGTGAACGAGCTAGCTTTTTATCGCCTCTCTATTAATAGAACTCCAGCGAAAAAAGATATGGCAAGCGCGAGTCGACGTTACCGAGTGGGTTCCGTCCATATCTTTTTAAGCGACAACAGAATACTCTTAGTTCGTTTGAATTTTCGACTCTAAACCGATTTGAACAGACTTCAATATTTTTTTATACAACTTAGAATGCCAAACAAGCTGACGGCCCACCTGATGGAAAGCGGCAACCGTCGCCTATAGACATGAGCAGTACCATGGACACAACAGAGTGTACTGTTTCGCCCATGATACCCCCCACGCGTTGCCATTCCTGAGGACTCGGGTGTTATTCCTCTGTACCCTGTGAATTCACGCCATATCCCACCCTTCAATATATGAATAACAAATATACTTACACATATATAAAATATGCTATGTTATATACGAAATTGAGAATAATATAAATTTTATATGAGACCAATCGGTCAATATATCTTTTCAGATAAAAAAAGAATTTCCCAAATATGGGGTAAGTAACAAAAAAAATACGACCAAATTTAGAAGAAACTCCTTTTTAAAGTCCGTAAATTTAGTGACAAAAAAAAAATTATGCCCTATTTATTTTTTTTATATGATTTTGTACGTCCACATTTAATTCATTGTAATACTAGCAGCCCGTCCCGGCGTCGCACGGGTGGACATTTTTAACATTTCCCTTCACTGCTCTGCTCCTATTGATCGTAGCGCGATGAAAAGTATACTATAACCTGCCCAGAAGTATGAAGAATAATTGTACCAAGTTTCGTTAAAATCCCTCGGAGTAGTTTTTGTTTCTATAACGAACATACAAACAGACAGACAAAAATTTTACTGATTGCGTTTTCGGCATCAGCATCGATCACTAATCACCGCGTGATAGTTATTTTGGAAATATATTTCATGTACAGAATTTACCTCTCTACAGATTTATTATAAGTATAGATACCGTACCGCCTAACAGTCGATTATTTAATTTTTTTAGTTTTTTTTTTTTAATACTTATTCTCCTATTCGGGACGTAAAAAAAAAGAGAAAAGAAAGTTAAATTTTAAAGCGGAACCCTAAAAAATGTTAAATAATAACACTTAACGGTATTGACGATTGCGGCCGTTGTTTTTTTTAACGCCATTCTCGAACGGTAGTAAGAAAGAGAAAGTGAACCGTAACTTGATATAAAAATATTGCTGTTTGCAGAGAAATTTTATGACTTTGGTACTCGTATTATTTGACCATGTTGGGTACGGGTTCGATTCCAGCACAGGACAAAAGCAATACTTTTAATTTTTTTTATGCAACTTAGAATGGCAAGCAAGCTGCGGCCCACCTGATGAAAAGTGGTATCCGTCGCCTATAGACATGAGCAGTACCATGAACACAACAGGGTATACTGTTTCGGCCATGATCCCCCTCCCCCCGTTGCCATTCCTGAGGACTCCTCCTTCCTGTGTTATTCCTCTGTAGGTACCCTGTAATTTCTGTGCCATATCCCACCCTTCAAACCGAAACACAGCCATGCAAACACAACTGCTTCACGGTTGAAACACGAATAGGACAGAGGTGCCCAAGCAAACGACTTTTGTACAAAGTCTCCCTCTGGTGAGACTGGTGGGTCAGCATTTGTAAGTAGTTTGATCATCAACGCTCAGTCTGTAGAATAAGCTCTCTACTGTGGTTTTTCCTAGAGACTACAGTATGGGGTTCTTAAAAGAGGATATATTAAGGTTTCTTCAGGGTTGGCGACACGCACGTGACAGCCCTATTTTTTATCACGTTATGACGTATACATGTTATGACCATCATCAGACAAGCTTTTTTTTACCGGATGATAATGGAATGGTAACCCTGCTTGCGCTATCGGTACACACTGGCGGAGCACCAGTGACGGATGATAGGTGGGGATGAAAAAGCAGGTCAATTAGCCCATCGTGATGAATACATCTGGAATTCAGCACGATGATTTTCAGAGGGGACCACGTGGAGGTCGACGTGACATTACTAGCAATGGGGATCAGACAATCCTCATTACTAACAATCAGTCCCCCCCCCCCCCATTAGACGAGCTATATGCTTGTTTGCCACTTTTGCGGTATGAAAAAATCATCGTAACCGCTGTTATATCAAAATCGGTCCAGTATTCCCGACGTCACGATGATGAATTCGTAAAATATTGCAAAAATGCAAGGCGAAAGTGTGGTCATTGTCTTTCCCATGTTTGGCTCATGGCGGCGCACACCGCGTGTGATTAGATTAATAATTAGATGACATCAATGGGGAATAAGTTATCCTTTTAGATAAAAAAAAAGCCGATTAAGTGCGAGTCGGACTCGCGTAACGAGGGATTCGTACGAAATCATCAAGTTATATTTTTTTTGGGATATAACTACAAATTTACGGTATTCGGATTGTTTTCTGTACTTGTGTTACATGATATTGCTTCTTGCCAAATGTCATAAATCTAGATCAACGGGAATTACCCTATTTGTTTGGTTTTGATTCCCTTTGCGAATGTCAAAATATGCATTATAAAGGGAACATAAACGGCCGTATCTTTTGATTGCGTCGATTTAGAAGCTTGATTTTTTCACTGCTTTAAGAGATTGCAGACCTGAGTACATGATATTAACTTCAACTTGATACCTCCACGCGTTTCTAAGAAAAAGGGTCTTGACAGATGGACGGACGGACAACGAAGTGATCCTATAAGGGTTCCGTGTTAGTCTTTGGACGTACGGAACCTTAAAAAAGAATTTTCCAATCGGTTTACAACTGACGGAGTTATGAGGTAACAAAAATGATACAATTCTTTTTTTATCACAATTCCTTCACTGTTTCTAGCATTAGGTTATGGAATTCATTGCCTGTTGTCATTGACAAGTGAAAGATTATCTTTTCTCTATCTGATTGTTTCTTCTTTTCAGAAATTGGCATTCTTTATTTATGTATTTATATAATTATTTATTTTATAATAGTTTGTTTTCCTTGTGCCTATAATTATTAATATGTATCCTAGTATTAGATACATATTTAACATATATGCATGGGATTATATAATTTTATTTGATTGATATGTATATGTATGTGTCTATATATATATATATATATATATATATATATATATATATATATATATATA